AATAGTATTCAAAGTTTAATGTGAAAACCATTGAAATGATATAAAACTGTTATGGAAAGTTTGAAGACAATCGTAAGAGTATTATAAAATGTACGTACTAATTGCTATTACTTTATCATTGCTGGAAAACGGGAAAATTCAACTGATAAAATTTGTTTTAAACTTCGTTAATTGAAGTAAAAAAATTACTATAGCTTAATTTTTTTTATCTGTGCTTATTTCTTTTTAGGGAAATACAATAAATTAGTACCGTACCTTCACAATTATTTTTACATTTTTTTTTAAATAGATATTTGGTACTTATCCCTTCTTAACTAATACTAGGAATAAATAAGAGTACATTTATATGTTCATAGCAATAAATATACTTTTAGAATAGAATAGAAAAGTGCTTTATTGAATACATATTATGTACAGTAGGAAATGAGTACGATAAATTTATACATGCACATACAACAATGGTCATACGACCGTCTGCTGGGTTGGCATAATGTCCGCATAATGTTTATTCAATATAAATGAAATAAAATTGTCCCACATAAATCATCATACTGAGTACTAAAACAAAATAAAATAACACTTCTTTATGCAACACGTATACATATATATATATACACATACAAATGCATGCATACATACACATATATTTCATACTCTACACTCATTGTAATACAAAATTTAAAAAAATTAAATTCCCTAACTAGCTCCCATCTACGTTTCCATGCAATTTTTAAAAAACTTCCAAGGCCCCGCCAAAATAATAATATACTTTTTTTATACTGTAAATTTTGATACGCTCAGATTTTATCTTTTAAATCTTATATGCAGAGGTTACTCTTAGTCATTACCCAGGACCTCACGTGTGTCTTATTTTTATTTATCAAAAGAAAAACATAATATTAATATATAGTTTACAAACATTGAATTAGAAATTTAGATATTTTAGTTTTCTAAAATGACTTTGCTTGTACATCAATAATAAAGTTTTACTTATGTAAAGTGCCTTACATCGAATTGTTTAAGTCATGAGTAAGTAAATTAAATAAAACCTAGTAAATCTCTTGAGTGACTAATTTATAGGAGTAAATTAGATTAATTAAGATTTTAAACTGTTAAAAATTATCCGTGGAATTGACCTCAAAAGTAGGAAAAACTCGAAATTTCTTTCTGTAAATAAGTGCTTTAAAATAATGAACAAATTCTCATCCCTTCTTGCTTGAATTGCGCAATTTGTTTCCTTATCTAAATTAAAATTCCCGGTACTTAAAGTGCCAAGGAGTTTATTTTAAGATTAAAAAAGAAAAGCAGAAAATCTTATGATACTCGTCCCTTGTTTTAGGAAAAGAGAATTGACACTTGATCACTTGGTACTAATAATAAAAAGGTGTATTCTTCAGAGTTTAAAAGATTTTTTATAAAAACATGTTTTTAATATTCATAAATAGTATTTCATTTCTGTATTGTCCAATAACAGGTTTTAAATATCTAGTTACTTTGAAATCCAGTCATTCTTTTTAACATTATACTAAAATTCTTTCTTTTATTTTTCAATAATTTTGTTTGATACCATTTTTATGTGGTATCTTAGTAGTGTACCACTTTTACTGTATATAGTACAGTGTATAAGTCTTGCTTTTTGGTTCATCAGTGGTTGTATATAAATCAAATGAATTAAAAACGTTTATGCATTTCAATACACAAGTAAGATAATGAAGTGATTGAATTCAAGATCAGGAAAAAGCTAGAAAACACTGCACAACATATCAAACCTAACATTTGATCAATAATATATGTTTCCTGGTTATAAATTCTCACTTTATGCCTCATATTATACAAAGCCACGTAGTAGCTCCCAGATACAGTGAAATTAAAACTTACTGCAGTGCAAAGAAGGGGCTTGGGATTGAGGTTATAAAGTTGGGGAGTGTTAACACCCTTGAGTCCCATGGGTTGAACTTATGACCCTCTAGAAGCCGAGAGTCGTGGTATTTAGCTACTTAACTCGACATTTGTAAAAACAGAAGGTTATTTTATCTGTCAACAATCACATTTTCACTTGAAACCGTTTTATAATCGGCTTCTACTGTGGTTGTATATCTCTGAATTATTTTGACAAATATAATAAAACAATATAGTGTTAGTTTTCATAAGGCTCGTACTGCTGAAATGGAATAGATATTACAGATGTAACATTTTTTTCATGTTTTTGCCATTATCTGGAATCATTTGGTTAAGGTTTTTTTAAATCTTGCATTACTCGTAAATAAACATTAATGATTAATATAAACACAAATATTTTTGGTAATCAATCGTTTAACTGATATTTTTGTATTGAAATTAGTTACTAATTTTACTTGTAAGCTTAAAGTGAAACCTATTGATGGATGTTTAGTTTGTTGATATCAAATATTTTGAAAATTAGAGACCTTTACTTGTTACGTGTGTTCATTAACGTTTACGCTGATGCGTACTTTAACCATCCTGATAGTTCAAACTATTTGATTCCAAATTAACTATTTTATTTCATATAAATTTCCTAATATTAGACTAGACACTTTATAGATTTATTGTAAGCAATTAGGATACTCAATAAGGAAGAAACTATGATGTATCACAATGTGCAACTGTGTTTTTGATTAAGCTGTAATATCAACAATTATTTAAGAAGAAAAACGTGTTTTCGTCAAAATTAAAAACATATTTTTTTGTTGTGGAGCCAGTTGTTAAATCACATTAAATCTGATTCCAAATTAACTATTTTATCTCGTATAATTTTTCTAATATTAGACACCACATCTTAGAGGTATATTTTAAGCAATTAGGAGACTCACTCAAGAAGAAACTATGATGTATCACAATGTGCAACTGTGTTTTTGATAAAGCTGTAATATCAACAATTATTTAAGAAGAAAAACATGTTTGCGTTAAAATAAAAACTTTTTTTGTGGAGTAAAGAAATGCAAATCAATTCGAGGCCCACACCAGTTGTTAAAGCACATGAAATTTAATAGGCTCCAATAAAGTCTTCCGTTCAATTTGATAGCTAAACTTAAGGAATCGTGAGTTTCGCTGGCGTCAGGAGTATGTGATATGTGAAAGTGTAGAATGGAGATTACACGGGCGTCAATGACGTTCAGATAATGTCCGTCCCTAGCCAAGCACTTTACCTTCAGAATGGGTTGTCTCTTGTCTCCACTGACAATATTTACATTGGGGATCTGATACAGTGTTGAAATTCTTAAAGGTGACTTTCGTCGTGCTGCAATGAAAAAAAACTGTTTAATTTGTCAAATATGTCCTTCATTTTACTTCATTACGTAACTAAAAAAAATTTTGAGCGATGTTTATAGACGTTTACTGCTTATTAAACAGACAATAGCTTACATAGAAGGGTACAGCGAGTGTGTTTTACACCAGTTAATAATATTAACTATTGTTGTTTTTGTTACAAGACAACATGGGCAACCCTGTGAGGGGATAGTTTTAATACAGTAACACAATTTTTCTGAATATAATTTTATTTTAAAACCCTAATTAATAATTATTATGTAACGATACTTTACTTTAAAAGGAGAGTAAGTATGGATTTAGTACACAACAGTAATGTAAATTAGTAAAATGAAAACAACTTATAACAGCAATGTTATTTTTATTATCACGCTTTATTGTCTCAAGTGAAAAGCACCTCAGCGTTTTCAAGTTGCAAATTTCTTCTGTACAATAAAAGACCTGCAACGGCAAAGTGGTGCTTACCGTGGATTGGCCATATCCGAAAAGCATCATCGCCTCCCTCTACAACGCTAGTCTACTATTTTCTCATTACCCTGACTCCAGCGTTTTTACATAAAATGAACAAAATGAAAGTCGTTCTATGAATTTATTTACTCGTATAAACAACCGCAAACTTATCAAACATAAACATTTTATTCTACCAGCTAAATTGTCTTATTAAATATATATAAGTGGTTTTTTAGAATTCATATTTTCATACTTGACTGAGTGAGTACCCACTATTGGTCATATTACGAGTACTTTCTTTTTGCAGGAAAACATGTCATTTCAAAATCAGTATTTATTAAATTTGCATACCGAACTAAAAGAATTGAGGAAATTTATGTTTTTATTAACGTTTACCTGGGTGAGTTTGGGTAAAAAAAGTATTGTGTTCTTATATACGACTAAGTAAGACCATATAATCCATTATAACATGGGAAGACATGCATACAAACATAGCCTATGTGCTCATGCATGTAATTTTGATCCCACTACAATAGTATGAGTGAGAAGAGAAGTGCTCTTTTTTGTTTCAGAATTTTGTATACTATGTTTAACGGGTTCAGTTTAATTCTTTATTAAACCTTTGGGAATAATGTTTGACCTTTTTTTCCTTGGAGAAATCAGATTAATTTGAATGTAAAATTCTTCTAACTAAACAATTTTGCTTTTTCTTGCAGCACCTTCAAGGATCTGGAACGTAATAGCAAAATGTAAGCCAAAAACTGAGTTTTACCAGCAAATACAGATAAGCTTAGGCATGTAGAACAGGTAGTAAGCCTAAGTTTAATAGAATGTTGTAAATGAGCAGAGGTGTCGCGAACACAAATGCTGCGAAGATAAAACTGCTGAGATTACGTCTTGTAATCTTAAACGTGGGAAAGACAAGAATTTTAATTTGGAAGTGAAAGGGTATTCATTGCGCCCGTCGTTGTGAAGAATCCAAAATTAAACCTAGATTTTCTAGACTTGAGTTTGAAATTATTATCTTCAGTTTGGGATGTTTTTTTTTTTATTTATTTAAGACTCTAGATAAATAAAGTAGACCATAAATGTGTTTTTTCAAATGTTTGGTTTTTTTAAGTTTCCAATTTAATAAATCCTTGAATAACTAATTAGTAGTAAATATCTTTATACATAGATATTTCAGAACCAAAATGCCCAATACGAATAGCCAATTTTACGACATGTGCTGGATATGTTTGAAATTATGCATTAATTCTTACCTTAATTTCTGGTCTGGTATTGCAGCGTCAGCAATGGCTGCGGCTTGGTTAAACCTGAAAATAAATGTAGAGATAAGTTATGAATCTCGGCGACATAATATATTATATTAGGGGTTTACTAAGGCAGACACGGTTGAATTAAAAATGTTTAACGTTGTTAAAACAGTGTTGATGTGGCCTTAACAAACTAGCTTGACATAGTCTTTAGATAACGAATAAGTGTCACATGCACTTTATAATCAATTCGTTGATGATTGTTCATTAAAAATACTTAACTTACAGTAAATACCTTTTTGGAGATACAAGTACAGTAGTAAAACAAAAAAGATAGAGGAGGATAAAAATTTTCGAAAAAAATGACAGAAATACAACTAATTAAAATATACATCGTTCAGTCAGGACAGTAAACAAAGTTGGCCCCAATTTAAGGTGGACCAAACAACTTTGCTAGGTGTTCCTGAGAATGACGTAATAAGTTGGCCACCAAGTCTGATTGTTTGTAACGAGTTGGACTCCAACAAACACAGACAAACTTGGGTCCATTATCCGCACCTGACTAACTCCGTAATTCCATTATCTGCGAAAGTAACTTGGAATTTGGCCTTGTTAACCGAGGTTATATGTATTAAAACTTTACCACCAAACTAATAATATTCTCCATCCGCGCGTTTATCCAAAAATATTCTTCTCCACATTTTAAATTGATGAGTGGAATCATTTGTAGCAGTTTTGACAAGACTTTGCTATTTCAGCAGGCGGGGTGGGAAAGGATAAATCTGTCTTCCAGTTTGTTTCCGAACCATTAGGCGAGCCTTGAGTCAAAACTACAAAGTTTGCCACTCTCATTTCCTCAAGGGGAACGCTCTCAAATTTACACTCGTAAATCTTGACATTGAGTTTTAAAGTTTACTTTAATTTACGATTTTGTTTTAAACGAAAATTCTAGGTTACAAATTGAAAACATCAAATTAAATTAAATAAACTGAATTTCGTAAAATAATATAAACCATCTTCTTGTTTATTTTTTAAGAAACGCTTTGAATCATAGAGACTTTTTCTTGGGTCATGTTGTCATTTATCTTCTCATAATGTTCTCTTAGTTCTCACATTTTACTACATTTGATCTTTGTAAAACATTTGACGTGTGATAAAAATAACTAGTACAGATCATAAAGGTGATAGTAAATCGTAGACTGTGTTGATAGAGAAGTTATCATGGTGTTTCAATGGGTGATGGTTCTATGACATTTATGGTTTTCAGTCTAATGTTGAGAAAAATGTCATTTTGTACAACTTTTCTGTACCTTCGTCATCTTTTATAGACTTCGATATTAAAAACCTTAAGAATTGTACATCGATCATTCAGCACCACTTATACCACTTTATATCAGTCTTCTTTTAGAATACATGACAACGAATATAAGGAAAAATAATAAAATTGTTGTCTTGCATGTCTTATAAAAGCTATTTCTAACATATTATTTCCTATCAGCTGTTCTGAATCTGTTTAGCTCAAACTGTAACATTTAGTCACACCATATTTCGGGAACGTCTTCATACTTCCATGTTCTGTTGACAATCTTGCCACTAAATGTAACCAAGTCCATTTCAACAGTCGCATGTAGTTGTCAACCACCCTGTCATACCACTCGGTGCTCGAGTCACCGCGATGTTTTGGACTGAATCCACATTTAGACTCCAGTAAAGTGATGTAGAGAAGTCATTATATAATTATTCTAAACAAGTAAATACGGAAGTAAGAGTAAAGTAAATTAAGCTTTGAAAAATGTGTTTTATGTTTTTGAATTGATAATTTGTATTATTAGTCTACCCCCAGAAAAACACATAACGCCTGTGACAGGTCTTCACGTAAAGTTGGTATGGTAAATTTAACGTTTTAGGTACCACGTTATTCAATCTTGAAGCAATAATATAATAAGTATCATAAAAACAAATAATTTCACATAAGACATATATGTTAATGCTACAACAATGCGTTTGGAAAAGCCATTTTGGAAATCCATTAACCCAAAGCCAGTTTAAATGTTAAATATCTTATTTTACATTTTGTAGTATAAAAAAGAAAACCAAATCATGAATTGTGTTTATTGTCATTTTAATTGTAGGCTATTGAGTATCATTTGAATCAATTTAGTATTATCAAAACTACTCATTGAAGATATTCACACCCTATACACGTACTACCATTTTGCCAGTGAATCTAAAGTAAATACTAGTTATACGCATAATTAATATTCAGTAAAATATCAAATGTTTTTTTCACCGTCGTTATTAAAATTAGTTGAAGAATATAATGGAATTTCGCATGTGACAAGCAATGAACTGGTTTACTTGTTGCCTCTCCTCCAAGCTATGTTAATATTCATCGGCCCGTAGCCGACCCTAAACATTAGCTTATCTGCGAGGAACACCCTTTCATGCTTGGCTAGCCATAAGTCAAAATTATAATTTTTACTCATTCAGAATATAGCGAGTAAGAAACGATATTTCGTTATTTTTAGGACCAATATCTTGTAAACGGGCACTTTGTGTAGCGCTATTTAAAAAAAATTGAAACTAAGTTTACCAAGAATATTGATGTATTGTTCTCAATCCACAACGTAATACTATTCGTTCACTATTTTACAATATGAGTCACGTCAATTTCGAATTCTTTTGCCGTCGTATACCCATATATATGATATGTCTGAACATTAATAAATTACAATTATCACTGTCACTACGTATTGATTTTCTCCCAATACGACATGATACTATTTAAAGGGCCACATGGTGATGGTTTGCGACACCAAGCTTGATCGCGGCTCGAAAGCAACGATATAAACAACTATGTAGTTCTTTACATCGTTGCTTGACAGCCGTCGCCGTACGCTCGTGTTAGGATTCGATCCTAACTAGTCCTGCTTACCTAGCTTAGTCAACTAGACGTGTTGCTCGTGTAAACCTTGTGTTAGATCAAATCTATTGGCAATCTGCGGGATTTGAACCCACTATCACTGGGACCAAATTCCCGCGTTCTACTACTTGATCAGCTCCCCAACAATTGTGCCTACTAATTTAATCGTACGTTATGTACCATTTGATATTTTCCTTAGATATGTGACGCACATTAAAATATATATTTCTAAATTTATGGAAAAAAGTTAAAATATTTACACAGAAGTTGAAATACTACAGAAAAGTACTAGTGTCAGGTCAAGTTCTCAAAATCTGTCACCGGTTTTGTTTCCGAACCATTAGTCCCGACTGAAGTTATAACTTGGAAACTTTTCAACTCTCTTACTTCCTCAGAGGTCACTTTACTTCTGTGTTTGTACTAATGACTTTAAATAGCACACCTAACATGTTAGTAAGAGGTAAAATACAATCAAAATATACAACTGTAACCCTCTTTTGCGCTGCAAAATAAATGTATTGTTTTTTTTTAATTTTGATATAAACAAGACAAATTGATAAAAGGATTAAGGGATTAAAATTTTGTTCATACACGTTTTTCTGTATTCATGCTTTGAACTTTGTTTATTACTAATATCTTGTATAATTAGGTAGACTATTATTTAAATATGAATATAGTAATACTCATATGAAAATTTGCGATGTTAATGGTTGTATGTTAAATCAATAATATAAATACTGACCCTGTGAATGCAGTTACATTCTTTGTGATTTAACATTCCAATTATATAGGCTTGACCATTATAACATTCTATATTCTATTTTGAAAATTTAATATTTTTTATTCTTTTATGAAGTACTAAATTTATTAATGGTACAGTTTCAAATTATACTGTATAATAAATTAGCCTTCAAGATCTAAAATCAAAACAGTTCCTTAATAAGTTGGCATTATATTATGCAATGCATTCTTTAGGAAGCAATGTCCCTTTAACTTGTATGCATAGTATATTATTTATTTTCATTTTCTCTGTTCGTTGATGACATAAGGAGAAATCCCTAGAAACAGCTTATTTTGACATCGTGTTGGGATGTCAAGCTGACGTGCTCAGGGACGTTCGGTTACATACGGATTTGGACTGTAGCCATACCTCTATGTTCAATAGCAAATAATTATAGTTGGAACACACTTAAACACATATAGTTGGACTGAATTATTATGAAAGAAATTGGCGTGGGTGCACTCCAAAAATAGGGCATGAAAGTTTTTTTTTTTATAATCACTTGACTTAAAATTATCTGTAATGCCTAATGCATAACTAGGAGGTTAAAGACAAATTGTATACATTTTGTGAAATTTTGTATTATAAAAGTTTGAATTATTGAGCACTCTACACTTTTTTTACAATATTTCCTAAGAAATCATATTCATACAATATGTTATGAGAGCCAGTTAGTAGAGGGTTGTAAAGGGCAGTTTAAGGACTACCCCTTACACATTAATATGCATTAGGCTGGTGACCAGACTGTAAATCCACCCTTATCTTAAGGACCATTGCCTGTCTTCTGCTTTCATTAACATCCAACACTGACCGGTGTCTGTTTCATATCATTCTCATATTCAAATTCAAATTTACCATAAACGCATACCATGCCGTAACATACCAAAGTCTTGTTACTCATTTCTACATACGCGATAAAATATGTTAAATATGGTATCGGTACTCGGTTTGTACTTTTAATTTTACATATTATTGCTTGCATTTCATTTCTTTATCCTCAATCGCCAGTCACCAATTACAACTTCATTGAGCATCGTAGACTTTATTTGTTGGATCGAACATTAATTTAAATGAATCTGTATCTTGTTGCTCCATTATAGGGACTATATGGTGTATTTAAATGAGTTTCTTTTTATTTGATTTATACTCAAAGCTGTCTATTGAAATGTCATATTTTGCCTCATAAACAATAAGCTTTAGCTGATTTCTTAAGTGATCAAATAAATCTTATTTCCGGTACTTTTACTAGTTCGTGTACAGAGTACCCTTACATTGCTTTACTTAAGTATTCCTTATCAAGCACTACCGTTTATTGGTCAAAATGATTTCGAAGTTTCACCTAAAACAGTTTAAAAT